TCCACACAGGAGAAAAACCGTATAAATGCATGGAGTGTGGAAAAAGCTTCAAAAGCAGCAGTCACCTGAACTGCCATAAACGGATCCACACGGGAGAGAAACCCTATACATGCCTAGAGTGTGGAAAGAAGTTCAATGTAAAGAGTTCTCTTACCTCTCATGTAAGGATCCACACAGGAGAGAAACCCTATAAATGTATTGAGTGTGGGAAGAGCTTCAGCCAAAGCAGTCAACTTACTTTCCATCACAGGATCCATACAGGGGAAAAACCTTATAAATGCACAGACTGTGGAAAGACCTTTGCTGGCAGTGGCTATCTGACTTACCATAAAAGGACCCACACTGGAGAGAAACCCTATAAATGCCTGGAATGTGGAAAGAGCTTCTGTGATAACCGCACCCTTACTTCCCATAACAGGGTCCACATGGGAGATAAATTGTATGTATGCAATGAACCTGGGAAGAGTTTGAGTTCAAGCAGCTCCCTTACTTACCACATTAGTTCCCACACACAGAAGAAATTGCATCAGTGCACAGAGTGTGAGAAGAGCTTCAGATTAAAAAGACACCTTACTTCCCATAAGAGGATCCACACAGGGGAGAAATAGAAATGTTTGCAATGCGGAAGGAGTGTTGGTGAAAACAGGATGTTTCTCAAGAAAGAATCCACAGAGGGCAGAAAAATATCATGTGTAAAGCAATCAAATTATTATTTTCATATCAGGGATACATACAGGACGAGAGAGATCCCTTTAGGGCAGGGGTAGGCACCCTTGCTCTTTTATGACTCGGGGAGTTCAACTCCCATAATTCCTGAGCCAGCCACGCTGAGGGGAAAGAGATTCTGGGAGTTGAAGTCCACGGGTCATAAAAGAGCCAAGGTTGCCTACCCCTGCTTTAGGGCAAGGGATCCTAATCTGTGGGCTGTTTCTCATTATCGGTCATGGCCTATTGGCCGCTGGTCTACCTGAATGCTGGCCATTGTGTATGTGTGTGTGAGTGTGCGCCCACAGCCCCACTCACGTGAGCATTGTGAAAGTCGGCATATGTGGCCACGCTCACGCAAGCCTTGTCACGAGCTTTGTAGGTGTTTGCCGCACCAGTCGCACAAATGTCATCACAAGCATTGCAGGCATTTGGTACCCCACTTTCATGAATGTCATCTCGGGCACTCACAACCGCACTCAGAAAAGCAGTGGGTGTTTGTGTGCATGTACACCCAGTGTTCATCCCCCCACAAAACCATCCCTTTCCCCCCTCCCCTTGCTCCCCGAACTCTGCTTTAGGGACTGAAGTGTCCTTAATTTGCATAAAAGGATCCACTATGATGTGAAACCATCTAAAAATATGGAGTGTAAAAAGAATAACATTTGTGTAAAAATGTGGAGAACAGTCTTTCTTTCAGAGGATTGCCATAGGAGCAGTGAATAAATGTATTTGGATTTTGGAAAGCTGCCAGGATAGAGTTCTTAATTCCAGAGGTATTAACCAATTGATTAATTTTCTCAAGAAAACCTGTTAAACAATTGCTCCTCTTATTACTCCAAAACCTCTGCTTGGTCAAGCTGCTTTATTTAGGCAGAAGCAACATCTGAAGTGAGTCTGAGATCAGGCTCCAGGCTTTGTGAAGCTCTAGTGTATGCAAGCCAAAGAAGGGAAAGTGTGTCTCTGTGTGTTCATTTTAGTTCTAATTGGGTTAAAAATACTGGCTTTCTTTAAACATATATCTGTCAACTTTGCAAATGAGCCTGGCTGCAGCCATTTCCCCCCTCATTTGAAGTTGCCACATGGAATGGAGGAAGGGGGGGCTTGTCCAGATGTTTTGCTAGTCAAAACAATCAGATGTGCCATGGGAATCAAGGTCATCTATTGCTCCCACAATTGGGGATTGGGCGTAGTATAAGAAAGCCCGCCAAACTATTCTATTGGGAAATGTAGTTGATTGCATAGTACTGGGGTGGGAACTTTAACTTTGTAATAATGTAACTTTTTGGAGGGAACTTTAGTCTTGGTTTCACTTTTGACCATGCAGATACTCTGTAACAATAAACATATTTTTGAGGAAATTGCACGACTCGGAGTTCTGCTTTATTACTCTTTGTCTGTTCGAACCATGACAGTAGCAAGGTATTAAGCTTTTTTCTTCATATACTGTACAAGTTTGGTTTACAAGTGAAAATGTCTCCCAAATGTTTTTATGTACAGTCCAGTCTGGTGCAAAATTGCATTAACCCAGCTGAAAGTGACTTTATAAATGGCTTCATTGATCCAACAATGTACTATATGAGCAATGTTTTTTAAAGACTTAAATTGCTTGATTTAAATTATTCATTGTTTAGTTTCTCAGATTAATCTGTACTGTATTTTCTATTTCTCAAGGTTTTTACATGTTACTTTAGTGCCTCCATTTCATTTTGTGGTGCCAAGTTGATCAGAAAGGTCAAACGTACTTGACGCAGTAGGGGACCGTAGCATTGCTATGGTTTTGGAGAAAACTGTTACTAGCATGAATGTGATTTTGTGCTTTTTATTTTAATACGACTTTTCTAAAAACGTGTTTTCTAATTATTAACAACCTTCCTAATTTTAAAAGGCTAATACATTATTGGAAGCAATTGTGGCCCTGAGGGAGAGGAGGGGCCCGGAAGGAGGCCTCATACAGACTCTGACCAAGAAAAAGAAGTTGAGGCCATCTCTGAGGAGCCCCGAAGAAGCCCCATGGCGCCTCTTCCCTCAGAGCTGCGTCTCTCTTTCTCTCAATGGCCTTTCCTGCCTTTTCCTACCTACTGGAGGGAATTGCACTGGGAGGGGTGTAGCCAGAAGGGAGATGGGGGAGGGGAGGACCCTTGCAAGGTTCCTTCTCCCTTGCCCTGAAGCCTTTCCCGCAATGCCTCTCATGGGGGTCCCAGCCCCCCTTCTTCCCCTCCCAGGGACCCTCACCAGCTGACCCACCAGCAGCAACAGAGGGACCCCAGCAGAGCCCATGGAAGCTTCCTGCAAACCCCCTCCCAAGAGAAGTAGGGGAGAGGTGGAATTGGGAGGGGGGTCTTGACAGGAATGCTTTGGAGTTGGTTTGCCAGGAATATGTTGCGCCAATGGGAATCCTCCCTTCTGTTGAGTCATCTGTCTCTGGGCGGAATCTCTCGTGATTTCTCCCTGTTGGAGAAAGCCTTTGGAGCCTCAGAGGTGCTTTTTTCAAGAGGCAACTGGATTTTCTTGTTTTTCTTTGAAGACTTTTCACTTCTTGTCCAAGAAGCTTCTTCAGCTCTGACTGGATGGTGGGGAGTAGTCAGAGCTGAAGAAGCTTCTTGGATTAGAAGTGAAAAGTCTTCAAAGAAAAACAAGAAAATCCAGTTCAGAGGATGGAAACAGGGATCACCCCTCCTGGCTTCTTCATTGGTCTGGAAGGTGAAGGAGGAGAAAACGAAAAGGATGTGGTCCTGGCAACTGATCACAGTTTTAAAGAGGGAAACAGCAGCAGGCATCAAGCTCTCAAAATATATCAAAAGCAGCACAAGATGTCACATTCTGCCAGAGGTTGTGTGTGTGTGTTTGTGTGTGTATGAGAGAGAGGGGGGGAGAGGGAGGGAAAGAGAATGGGAGAGAGTTAGGGAGGGAGAGAAAGAGAGAGGAAAAGAGAACGAGTGGGACAGAGAGGCAGAGAGAGAGAGGCAGAGAGACAGGAGGGAGAGAGAGAGGGAGGGAGGGAAAGAGAAAGAAAGAGGGGGAAAAAGTGAGAGGAAGAGGGCGAGACCAAGAGAGAAAGCTAGTGGGAAAGAGAGGCCAAGAGAGAGACAGACAGAATCAAGATCATGTGAAGTATTAATACCACTTTACAATGCCTTGGTAAGGCCACATTTGGAATACTGCATTCAGTTTTGATCACCATGATGTAAAAAAGATGTTGAGACTCTAGAAAGAGTACAGAGAAGAGCAACAAAGATGATTAGGGGACTGGAGGCTAAAGCATATAAGGAAAGGCTGCTGGAATTGTGTATGTCTAGTTTAATGAAGAGAAGGACGAGGGGGGACATGATAGCAGTGTTCCAATATCTCAGGGGCAGCCACAAAGAAGAGGGAGTCAAGCTATTTTCCAAGGCTCCTGAAGGCAGGACAAGAAGCAACGGAGGGAAACTAATCAAAGAGAGAAGCAACCTAGAACTAAGGAGAAACTTCCTGACAGTTAGAACAATTAACCAGTGGAACAACCTGCCTCTAGAAGTGGTGAATGCTCCAACACTGGAAGTTTTTAAGAAGAGACTGGACAGCCATTTGTCTGAAATGGTATAGGGTTTCCTGTCTGAGCAGGGGATTGGACTAGATGACCTCCAAGGTCCCTTCCAACTATTATTATTATTATTATTATTATTATCATTATTATTATTATTATTATTATCATTATTATTATTATTATTATTATTATTATTATTATTATTATTATTATTATTATTATTAAAGACAGAGAGAGTTACAGAGATGCCATAGAAGGATCCATTCAGGGGAAAACCCGTATGAATGTGTAGACTGTGGAAAAAGCTTCAGGACAAATACTTCTTTTACTAAGCATAAATTGATCCATGCGGGAGAGAAACCCTTTAAATGCATAGAGTGCGGGAAGAGCTTTAGGCAAAGTGGTGTCCTTGCTTACCATAAAACAGTGGTTCTCAACCTTTTTAATGCTGTGACCCCAACCGGTCGTAAGTCGAGGACTAAAGCGGTCGTAAGTTGAGGACTAAACCGCTCGTAAGTCGAGGACTAAACCGCTCGTAAGTCGAGGACTACCCAACCGGTCGTAAGTCGAGGACTTTCCCTGCCCGGGAGCGCCGCGCATGCGTGGTTCCGCCCCCTGCGCCGGCCGAGGCGTAGCTGGCAAGCGGCAGAGACGGAGCAGGCCGACC